TCAAAACGAGTCTTCGTGTAAAATCTTTCTTGTGAAAATAAGTTTGATTTGCTTGAAAATGAACATGAAGACGGATCGCATTTCGTTATGAATGGTTTTGCGCGAAGACTCGTTTGATACGGAGGTAAAAGGCAACTCGTAAATGGCCTATTCAAACAACAGTTTTGCACATGTGCGGGACATGCAAATTTAAACAAATGGGAATTAAAGAAGGACGATAGCATACTGTTACAAAAAACGCCGTTCCTTCTCAGCTTTTTGTGATTTTTGGGCGCACAAAAACCTTCAACCGTTTAACGAAAATGGCACTTGTTCGGGAAAGGAGATAGATATTAAAAGTATGACATTATTATAACACTGGAAAACGGTAGCGAAACGGGAAAATTTTAATAGCTTAGCCGGGGATCTCAAAGGAAAGCAGAGACTTTAAAACGTATTGGTGTGCAAGTGATCTGGAGTCTAGCTGTCAGGATTCATCACTGGTTTAACTTACATGACGGGTATTTACAAAGAAATCTAACGCGCTTTATCTCTTTCTTTTATTTTTCAGTTGCTTGGAATGATTTTTGCCTGCTGTCTCTTCTGTTCAATAGACGTATAAAGGGAATAAACTGTATCAGAAAACCCTTTTCACGGTTATTTATTTTCTTTATATTTGCATAGAAACAACGTTGCTAGGCAATTCCGGGCATGCGAGCAGTAACTACAAAATTGCCAGACATTGTCTCACATTCACGTTGGATTACTTTCTGATGCAATAGGCCATTTCCAAGCTACCTTGTGCCTCTGTTTCGAAACTAGTTCTCGTGCAAAACTTTTCATTTGAAAATGAACTCGTCAGGGGAATACATTTTCATGTGAATGGTTTCGCACGAAAATCGTTTCCAGAGGTAAAATTCAACTCGCAACTAGCCTATTAAGAAAAGTTAACCGTGGAAAGGGTTATTACGCGAACGTATAATAAATTAATTGTACAGTTACTTGAAGTGGCTTTTAATTTGATAGGTTCTGACAGAAAGCAGAATCAAACCCAAAATACTATTTTGTATCGGCTGTGCACTGGACCGAACAACATC